GCGGGTTGGCTGCCTGGCATGTTGCAAATGTTGGTGTTACCTTAGCTGTTGTTGTTGTCGTCGTTGTTGCAGCATACAAATTACTCAAGTTACATACGTACCCAGATTTTATGCCGGCTTGTAATGCAAGTAGAGAAACAGAGGACAAAGTGAAAGACACAAAATGAAACCGCAACACAAAACATGCAACCAACCATCAGCCAGCCGGGAGGCAGCAGCCAAATACAACTGCAATGTTACTGGGAACATATGATAGTTATTGCTGTAGTTTGTTGTTGTTGCTGGTGTTGATGTTCTTGGTGGCTTTCAAAAGGTGTCAGAATGCGAATAGTGCACAGTGTATTGAAATATGTTTTGAAGTTTGAAATCTTATAAATATATTACATACACTTCAAAAATTATTTGCAAATGGCTCTTACATCACTGCTGTACAATCCAGTATGATAGTGTCTATGCTTTAGGTCGTATTCTCTTTTTATCAGTCGCTTTGATGATGAATTCCCAGTTACGCTCTCACACACTATGAATGTAGATCTGCACAACACTTATTTTCATACTCATAATCGAATTATTCATCCTACAACTAAAAAAATTGATTACAAATAAGTCTTCTCATGGCACTTCAAGGAAACCTCTGAATTAAAATTGACCAGAGGGATACAGCTCCGGCCGAGGAAATTGATGGCTCAACATTTGAAAGGTTAATGGGGAAAAGAGAAAGTAACACAAGTATAAGGAGGGGATATCAGATCTGGTTCCATATAAGCACCAGGTCTGATGAATGCCGTATTCTGGCAACCCGTCATTTCGTCTCGGCTAATAGACCACCCCACTTCGTAATATATGAACGCGGTACTGATTGCTAAAGCAAGGCAAACTTGATTGGCAAAGCTTTAGAGAGTTTTGCAATTACTGCTTTCTATCAGATCCAAGGGTAAATGAAAGGAATTTCATTTATATATATATCTGCTGGACGAATGCCCGAAATAAAACCAAACATCTCATCAGATTCGACGTTACTGGACAATGAACGTGGCGTACTTCGTGGTACGACCCCTAAAGAACCGGTGAGTGAACTTACTCTTGAAATCAAGAGGCCTAAAGCAATTCAAAATTGTTACTGAAAAAAGTAAATTGTGGGCAAATCCTGAAAAGGCAGACGGCAGGACAGCTGTCACATTTGACGACTTAAGGGGAACTGATTCGTAGAGATGCGCGTGTTTTTTTAACCGACAATTTGTAGGTCATGCCACCAGTGACAGTGCGAAGAGAGGATATACCACTTCTCTGCCGAGGATGCATCTTCACAATTTACGAAGGAAGTTGTTGCAGATGTCATCAATAACGCTAAATCATCCCAACAAATTTCTATGAAGTTGCTTAAGAAGCTGGATAAACGCCGAGTCGAGTACTTAACATCAGTCTGGTTCCGTTACTGAAGCCTGGAAAGGATGGAAGCAGGCAGAGGTGAATCGTACATGCTTATTTTACTTCTGTCACTGAGAATCAATTTTCTTAAGCCTAAAATTCGGTATTGCGCGCAATTTCCATTGCACTTGGTCTATCGAAGGCCGTCCATGTCAAGTTGTTCGAAAATATCAACCTTCGACCGTGTTTAAAACGCTGGAAGCAAAATTTGTGGAATTCAAAATTAGGAAGTTGATGACCCCTATAGTAAACAGGGAATTCCCCAATATGGAGTAACCTCTACATTCTGTTATTTCACAACAACTTGTCGGCATAGAGCTTGATAAGGAGACCCTACTTACCTCATGACAACTGCAACAGCGTCTTTTTTTATGACTCTATTTTATCATATTAATGAGTTTTTAACTAACTAAACTTTATGTTCAGACACTCAGGAGAGATCTTCGTGATCTGGAGTTAGAGGTCCAATGGTAAAAGTGATCAGTGTTGTGTAGATCAAAATTGAGAGTTAATGTGTGTGAGCGTTACTGAGAGCTCATCACCAAAAAGATTGAGGAAAAGAGACGGATTTTGAGGAAAAGAGACGGATGAACAGCTTCATAGACTAATGAAGATATAGACGACGAAATACTCAAAAATTGCGCGGTCAAGTGACTCAAAACAAAAAACTCAAAAATTTTTAAAGACGTTTTTTGGGGAAAATAGCCTATTTTTCTTTAATGTTTTTATATGAGGATATAGTTTTTGTTTAAAACAAACTATATTTAGTGGCATTCCAATTTAAAAGGTTCAAACATTTAAATAAATCACGATTTAAAATTGAGTAGCGCATTCAGCAGACTCAATTCAGGGAGGACTGGTGAGTTCATTTCGTCGTCTGTACATTCATTAGTCTATGACAGCTTTATGGACCTGTTTATCTGGAAATCTGAATATCATTCATACAGAGACCATCCAGAGGTCCAACTGCCACAATTCCCATTGGGCACGAATTGATTGCTGGATTAAATACACTATGTAATATGTAGACCAAACTCGTCTCCACTTTATTCTAGGCTCAAGTCGGTTTGCTCTGCAAATTTTGCAAAACAGCCAGTTTTTTTTATTTTTAAGGCCATTGCTGCCACAAATGTGATGGTGTGCGATGGCACTCCAAACAGCCTTTCTAAAATACTGTGACTTGCATCAGAACCATTCCTCTTACACGCACGCAGAATCCCAACACGATGTCACAAGATACAAATATTTGTTGCTGTTGTTGTTGTCGTTTTTTATCACCATAACTAATACCACGATATAATAACGGTTTCCCGCCAAAGAAAAAACAAGGTTCCTCGACATCAAAGTGCAGTGGACCTCTATGGACATCTCCAATGGTAGCGATGCATAACAATGCGCAGAACTTGTTATGAGCCGGAAGACAACGAGGCTGCATTGAAAACGCAAAGAACTTTGCAGGTCATTGATATTTGTGTAGTCATCATTGCCGGAATAAGTGCAATAAATAGTGATTTTTGGGGAAACAGAGATAACATACTTGCAAATTTTAAATGGCCAAATTTAATCAGCAGAAAATAATAATTGTCTTATTACATAGTAAATAGTACAATATACAATATATATGGCACCATTACTTCCATAGTCGTTAAGTTGCTTCGGGCCGAAAATATCTAATATCGGCCAGAACCACGTTAAAAAAATAAATTGAAGTACCAATTTGCGGAGTTCGGGATGAATATGTGTAGTGTTTCATGTTAAACTGCAATTTTAAATAATTTTCCAAAATTATCGATGTGGTCCTCGTTAAAATATGTTTACATTCCATTATATTTACCTGCCTTATCGCATTTACTTCGGCATTCCCAACTGCACTGCCATGATTTATTTACAAATATTCCTTTTGGAGGCATTCATCCGTAAAAGAATGCACACAGCATGCATGGCCACTTACTTTGCTGTTGAGTTACATCTCAAGAGAAAGGGTATTTCTTATAGGAATGATAAGAACAAGTGATGAAGCACTGTTTGTACCCTCAAAATAATGGACAATGAGGGTATTTATATAATTTTGTAAGAAAAAGAGAATAAAAACAATTTCTGGTGATTTTAGCTGTTTTGAATGTCCACCTCATGATGGATAAAAAGTTCTGCCCGCTCGAACTTCATGCCATTATACCCTTCACCAGGCAAAAGGAAACGAGATAGACACGTTCCTTTTGGCAATTGGTTCACTTTGTGAGTCTGTTTATGTTCCAATCCGAATTGGCCCATTGAAATTGGGAAAAATTGGTTCAGATTTAGATATAGCTCCCATATATATTTTGCTCCGATTTTATGTAAATGGTGCACCAAGTCCCTATATATCTTTCTTATATATTATAGACCCAAGCTTGGTACACAATTTTGTACAATGTACTGAAGTTAATATAAATTAATCTCTGGCAAGTTTCGTTGAAATCGAGTTAGAGTTAGAATCTGAATACGCTTTAAGCAACCACCGCTATCGTACTACTTTGTGCATTAGTGATTTAGATGTAGGTAAACAGAAACAGCATCTGCAGAGCAAGAGAAGAACATTTTTCATACCTCTGCCCAGCTTTGACAAACCTTTTCATACTTCTGCCCAGCTTTGACAAATTATTGCGAAATAATACTATTCAAGACCTGAATGACTTTGTAATGAATACCGAATTTCTAGAAGTATGCAGAAACTAATCTCAAGTTATCTCCAGCACTAGAGCGCTCAGCCGGCATTGATTGACTTTTGGACATGTCGTCGGGCTTGACCACGCCTTTTTTCGACCTAACCTTCTACCATGACACAATTGTGTGCGGGGCTCCCTTATATATTTCATTATGTTAGATGTAGAACAATCGTAAGGCGTTACCACGATTTTTATCTATTTGTCGACCTATATCTCTGGAACCACTAATGCTAATTGCCCGCGTCATTATCTCGAACATAGTTGGGCAGACTTGCACACCAGCGTTGATGCAACATTTTTTTTGATGAATTTATTTTGTTAACTTCCTGGGATGTTATTCATGTTTTAAAAATATAAAAATAATTAAGTTCCGCAGAATAATTAATGTTTTTATCTTCCTTAACAATTTTTTAAGTGACATTTTGCCCACCATTGATCTCGAATTAAGGGTTATTTGTTTCGAGGTTTCAAAAGTGTATATATACGGAATATAAAAAATCTTTCTGATAGAAAAATTGGGCTGTTATGCCTGGGTTTACACATGCAACTTTTTTAAGCAGCTCTTTTCGAATTTCTTCTCTCTCTTTTGAATTTCTTCCCCCTTTTCACTTTTTATGCCTCTCTCTTCTATGAACTGGGCAACTCTACTTAAAAAAGTTGCATGTGTAAACCCCGAGTATCGAAAATCTCAAATGATACCCCGTAGAAAAAATCGACATTTTTTTATAAAAACTTTTTATATTTTATTTGAAAATATTGTCTTTTTTAAACAAAACATCGGAAGGAATATATGTATGTATTTATGCATGTATAATTAACAGAATTAACGAATTCATCAATATGTGAATATTATGGCAAACAGATCAATCGATTTACTCAACATTACGCACACCACGCATTTTCTTATCAGCCACCTTCAGTGCGGTATAATTCAACAATTGTTTTGTACGCAATTTAGACCAAATCATAAAGTTGTGAAGACCCAAAATTTGTGCTGCATGTAGGGCGGCAGTTTCTGGATATACGACAGTGGGGCAACCCAAACCCGAGGGTACATTTAAACTGGACCAAACATCCAATGACTTGTCTTCGGCCTTAAGGGGTGGACAATTGATAACTGGATAAGGGGTGTTGGCCGATAAAACTGGTCCCAAACCATTAGAACGTCCAGCCACAGCAATGAAAATCAGATTATTCAAACGACCTTCATATTCACGTAAGATACGTAATGTCTCTTCGGTACCCTTGTGAGCCGAGGTAACACGCAATTCGGTGTTCAAGCCAAATGATTTGCAGTGTTTGGCAATTTTTTCACAATGTTCGCTGTCTGAGGCACTGCCCATTAAAATCACAACCAAATGATCGGATTTGGGAATAATCGTCTTGAGCTGTTCATTTGTCCAGGTATAATTGCGAATAACTGTGTCCAAGGACTCGTCTGTAACGGTGGCACACTTGCGATAAACATCTTTGTCGACCATAAGACGTTTATCACCGGCAGGCCACAAACGCCACGAATCCGAATCGATAATGTCAGCCAATATAATTTGACCTGCAATATAAAGAAGGAAATTAAAACAATTAAAATTGTGTCGTTTTAATTTGAATATATAATGAAGAAAATGAAGAAAATGTCCGATAAATAAAATGCGTGTTAAGATTATTGCTTAATCGCGATGACGTGAATCGACGTGACGTGAATCTCGATTTAATTGAAGTATCCCCGATTTACCATACCAAATCCACTCAATATCTCGATTTGCTCGAAATCCTTGAAGTAGGCTTTAAAATTAGTTCAATTTCAAAATAACTGTCTAAAAAATATGTAAGCTGCAGAAATATTTATTTGTTTTTTTGCATTTTATTAAAAATTATTTTATATTAATACAACATTTTTATGCATTTCTGAACTAATGGAGAGGAATTCATCACAAAAAAGTTTTGAAAATATTGATTGAAAAATTACCACAGGAATTGTGAAAGCAGTGAAATGTGTATGTATACGTAAACAAATAACATCTGACAAATCCATTAAATTTTAATACTAGTCTAAACCGCTAGAATTTGATATCTCGATTTATAAATCGAGTCGATTGTGCTGAATAAATCAACTCAATAGCTGCGTCTGTCTTCTCGATATTTGGTAAACATTTTTACCAAATGTTACTGGATGTTGTGTGTTTACACCAAAATCCAGTAAGAGAGAGCGGAAGGGGAGAGCTATTTGACAGTTCTACGCTGAGAACTTACTAAATGTTACTGGCTAAATTTCTTCTAGTAATATTTACCCAGCAAAATTCGATGTATTTCAATCAGCTGTTAATTTTAAATGTTATCCAAAGTCGAAAAACATTTTTGTTATTTTACGAATTTCATTCCTTTAATAGTAAATTTCAACCACCTTAAGTGAAATTGCGTGATATTTTGCAAAATACTTGCTGGATGTTGTCAGTTTACTTTTCTCAGTATTATTGCAAAATGGAATAAAACCGGCTTACTCTCTAAAATAGAACTTACTGTGTAAATGTTACTAAAAAAGTAACCAAACACAGCTAATATCTTGATTTGCTAGAAATCCTGTGCTAAATCGAAATAATTTCCAATACAACCCTGCTTTTGCACCCTAAAAATAACCACTTTGCCTAAAAGTATGCAAGGTAGGACAACTTGAGGTGAATAACAAAAAAGCAACTCTGTAGTTAGTGGCTTCTTCTATCAAATATAAAAAAAAAACATATGCAACACACTTACTGTTTATTTTACATTTTAATACATAACTAAAAACGCTAAAAAGGAAGTAGGGAATGCCAATAAGTGTTTGTTTAATCCATAACAAACTTTTGATTTTGGTAGCTATGCCATACATTGTAATAATTATACCACCTTTGTATCCACATATTAAAATCGAAGCAGTTTTAATTTGATAATTTGAATATATATCACAGTACAGTTCAATTTGAAATATTTTTTATATAAATTCCATTTAATATTTCAGAAATCATTGCAAAAATAATTTTGGATCCATATCATGACATTAGTGTTTAAAATCGTTCTAGACTTCAACAGATTCCTATACATATATTTCTTCCAACTTTAAATTTGTTATGGAACGGGATAGTCGGATGTTACTATATTTTTAGCTCGTACTTTGAAAAGTGTTACATTTCTTTTACGATTAAATATTATTCAATATTAATCATTATTCCTGTGGTTTCTTTATGTTAATCTTTCCATATTTTTTTGACTACTGAATAAATAACTTAGCCACAAAATTATCCCAATAATATCAATTGTCACCTCCCCACACATTCTCTAAGGAATTTTTTGTACATAAATCCTAAGCCGAAATCCAAAGAACCGCAGTCTTTCATTACTATACACAAATAAAAAAACCTCAATTTCTAAAACCCCCACAAATAAATTATTAAGAAAAGAATGACAAAAATAATAAAAAAAAATGAAAGATAAATTGAATGAACCCAACTCACTCGTACAATACAAATAAATGCGCTCAAATCTGGACAAAGAATTTAATTCGATAAATAAGCGGCAGTAATCTACAATGTTCGGGTCTTGCCACAGCCGTTATAATCGCCAGCTTCTTAAATGTAATTTATGAAAGTGGACTCGCAGTTTCATTTTGAATCTCCTACACATAACACCAGTTACAGTTTCTGTGGGCATTGAGCGGTTTTTAAAATCGCCGCAAACAATTCTGGATTATTTTTTCGTTGCCACGTTTTCGTCGTAGACAAACTAAAGAAAATAAATTCGCTATTGTGATAAGAGAGAAGTCGCCAGTAGTACGAACATGTTTACTTCCTGTCGTCACCGTGCCACCATCGCACTCACCCTGTTTGTGGTGGCAATAATTCAGCTTGCTGCATGCACTGAGGACGGAAATGCCTCGTGGAATATCAGCACAATGGACCTTTTGCGTGTACAACTGTTTACGAATTATGATAAGAGTGCGCACCCCATGGTTACACCCACACAGCGGACAAATATTACATTGGGCATATCCGTCAACTATATCGATATCGACGAATTGAAGGGCAGGATGACGCTGCATGGCTGGATTAATATGCGCTGGAGGGACGGTGGAAGGACATGGAAGCCGGAATTTTTTGACAATATAACCACATTGCATATACGTGCCAAGGAGGTGTGGAAACCGGACATAACATTGTTCAATAGCGCTGGCAGTGAAGGTGATTATGTGGGCGATACACAGGCAATGCTCAGCTATGATGGCAGTTTCCTATGGGTGCCTCCCGTGGTTTATACCGCCTACTGTAATTTAAATCTTAAATTGTGGCCCTATGATCAGCAAACATGTAAACTGAAAGTGGGTACCTGGACTTTGACTACAATCGATGCGAAATTCCTCGACTTTAAGGAGAGTATAGACTACAAGGATTTGGTCAAATCCACGGAATGGGATATTATTGATGCACAGGCGACCTACAATAGTGAAGAATTCTACAACTATATCGAGTACAGCTTTACACTACAACGATATTCGTCTATGTATACGACAGTCATTTTCACCCCAGCATCCTGCATTATACTAATGTGCCTAGCAATTTTCTGGTTACCCCCACAAATGGGAGAGAAAATTTTACTCAATGCCGTTTTGATTGTCATCATTGCCGCCTTTCTTATGTACTTTGCCCAGATGTTGCCCATATTGGCGGAAAATACTCCCCTGGTGGTCCTATTCTACAGTGCCAGTTTATTGCTGCTTAGCATATCGACAGTGGTATCGGTTATAGTGCTATATCTATCCACTGCCAAACACAAGCAACGTGTACCTCAATTTCTTAGAAATATCCTCAATGGGGTCTTAGGACGTATTTTACTGCTGAGTGAATTCTCGCTAGAAGCCGAACCACAAACTCTATTGAATAATGGTACCAAGGAATTGGGAGAGCATGTCTACGATGAACCGGTTGAGACCACCAATGATATCGCCATGTTTAATTCGTCCAATCACACACCGAGATCGTTACAATTCGATTGGATTCTATTAGCAACTGCAGTTGATCGCATTTGTTTCCTATTGTACTGTCTCATATTTATTATTCTGGCCATTGCCTATTCTGTGTAGAGGATCGAAAATATGGCATCACACAATCAACAAGAAAAATTCTATTATAAAATCTATATTCCATACCAGTACATATGTAAATAAACAAAGTTTTGACTGAGAAAAATGCCCAAAGTGTCTAGTAGTGTTGATTATGTTGCAAAGGTAAGATCAACTATATCAATATAAGATTTGGGGGTATTCACCCTGTCTTCCTGACACGTGAGTAATACATCTATGATAAACTTTCAAAAACATCAATATTTACTAAAATATGTTTTGTAGAGGTGCGTTTAGGTATTGTGATATAATTGTCTACTGAAAAGGTAAGCATATGATTTTAGATACTATGTGGTACTTTTCAATTATCAATACATAAATATATATTGACAGGATATTTGCTGAAATTTAAGGTAAATGTTGTATTGATTTCTTTCAATAATATAAATTCGATGCTTTGAACCCTATTAAATCTGTAACAGGATCCATACACATCTATCTCTGACTTACATTGAAAACGTTTCCCAAAAATTGGTTTAACCATTTATTCTTTTACCCCCGAATGTGAAGTCAAAATATGAAATTACTGGCAAATTAGTCGAAATCTTTATAATACTTATTATATTAATAATATACCTGATCATGAAACGATATTAGAACAATAAGATTCAAACAAATATATATATAAATACATCCAATTCTGAAATATCTTAAAATATTCCCAAAATATTAAAGGGTACCAAATTACCAACTTACAGTCAACAGACGGACAGGCAGTCGGACATAGTTAATCAACATAGATAGGATCAAAAATTTTATGGGCGACAGAGATGACATTTAAACGGACAGACAGGCGCATATATGTACGGATTGAGAGAGTTTTCAGTTTTAAATATTAAAAGGAGGTAGCGGAAGGAGTGGACTACTGGGTCCCATCTTCGGACTTGATATAGGGTTGGTAAATATAATAGGTGTGCAAGGTTTGGTTGAAATATGACATTCCATACGCCTGATATTGCATTTAAAAATTTTGAAAATTTTGACCATTCGTGGGGGAGCTTTCAGAAGGTGTAGACCAATGGGTCCCATCTTTGGGCTTAATCTAGACTTCGTAAAGGTAATGGGTTGTTCAAAGTTTGGTTCACATCGGACATTCCATTCGCCAGATATTGGATTTAAAAATATTGAAAATTTTTACCATTTATGGAGTACCTCCCCCATAAATGGAGTGGACCAATCGGTCCTATCTTCCTAATTGATATATGCTTGAACAAGATAATTGGTTGTATAAAGTTTCATTAAAATCGGATAGTCCGTTTGCATTTTATTATAAAACTAATTTATAGCACAATTTTGACCATTTTGTGAGGGTGGTACCAAACTCAATCTAGGATTGGTAAAGGTAATAGGTTGTGCAAAGTTTGGTTCAAAACGGACATTCCATTAGCTTGATATTGGTATTATAAATATTGCAAAATTTGACCCTCTGTGGGGGAGGTACCAGAAAGAGTAGACCAAACTTGATCTAGGCTTTGTCAAGATAATATATCGTACCAAGTTTCGTTAAAATAGAATTGTCCGTTTGCATGTTATTATAAAATTAATTTTTAGCACAATTTTGACCATTTTGTGTGGGAGGTACCAGAAGAAGTGGGCCTATATTCCCCATCTTCGAAATTAAACTAAGTTTGGAAGAAACATTAACATGTGCAAAGTTTTAATGAAATCGGTTGCTGCCTTCGAGAGTTATCGTGCGCACCAGACAGAAAATATGCTGATTCAAAATCTGTTCGCGTTCACAAATTCGGATGCTGCGCACAAAAGTTATAGCGGTTTTAAATCTTGTATTTCAAATATAAATTAAATTCAATCCTATTTGTTGTAATTTGCGAATTTCTTGACAAATGGTTAAACACATTTGCTTTCTTTGCATACTAGTCAAATCACATTGAAATACGGTTTAATAGTCGCGAAAAACAAATAAAAGCATGAAGATATCGACAAAAAAATAAATTAATTTTTGAATAGCCACAAAAATGTTTTTTTAATTTTTGACTTTTTGGTATGGTTAAGATAATACGGTTTAGTCTAGATCTTATACAACACGTGACGATTTCTTCTACAAATTCTTTTAGATGATTGTTAAATATCGGTAGATTCCTCTGTTAAGAGTTTTGACTTTAAAAATAAAAAAATATATTGCAGTTACAGTATATGAAAATGATCAACATTAAAAAGAATACAGTTCGCGTATTAGTTGAAATTAGTTGATGCGCATGCGGTTTTCGTATAAACCGAATCAATATCTTCCAATAATTATGCATTTTTCGAGGTTTCATTAAGCGGCCAAAGGGTGTCGCTCGATGCACTTTACTATGCAAAAAAACCTAAAAATGTCGCAACTTGGATACGATTTTTATGCGCATCCGATTTCAGTAATCTCCTATGAAAATACACAAAAGAACACCTATTTTAAAAGGATCGGTTAAGAACCGCGGATGTGCCTCCACAAACGATTTTGGATAAAATACGCATATTATTCGCGTATCGATATATTTTTGACCTATTTTCACACAAATTCGCGAATATGATAACACAAGAATGAATGTATGTGAAATCAATTCGAAGAAAAACGCGATTACATTCGCGAATTTGTCAAAATAAGTTTTTGCAGTTTTTTCCCACATTCAAGGTACCTATATCCGCCGTTTTATTGTGCGGAATTGAACATGGATGGGCTCATTAGATCCGGCACGTAAAAAAACTAAAATCACGCGGGGTTCCACGGAATTTGAATGGACTTTCTTAATTTTAGACTCAAAAAATATGTTTTTTATAAAAACTTACGCACCAAATTTTCGTCTGCAAAGAAGCTACGGTGAGCACATTCATGAGCTATACACTAAACGAAGATGTCAAAATGTCAGCATCCGTTTTGGTTGGATGCAGTGATTATATCAAAAAATCATACATTAGAACCACATTGTCCATGGGGTATTCTTCAACTTAGTCACAGATCACATATGCGTGCGTTGTGTAGTTTAGCCACAAATCAGGAACGAACACAAAAAACTCGTTGGCTTCAACCCTTTTTTACCCATTTTTCTACATTACCACCATCACAGCTTCCACCCAACTTATTATTTATTACCAATATTTTAAGATTTTGACAAGAACACTTCATTTTATAGAATTGAATTTAAATTATATGCAATATGTTCATATTTCGCAAGTTATAATAAAAAGAATATATATAATAAATAGAATAAAAATCGAACAATGTCATATGCGGGTTATACAAAAATATTATATTCGAAAAGTGTACTGTAACAATCGGCTAAACATTTTAATATCAAAAAACAGCTTAGGAGTAATGTAAACGCCTATGAAAAATGCGTATTTTAAGTAAAATCAATGTAACCGTTAAATTCACAACTGACATAAATAAATAAATAAACTAAAAATATACATACCCTCTTCATCGACGCCAAATTCAATTTTCATATCGATAAGAGCACAGTTTTTAGTAGCCCAAGCTCTTTCCAAAATTTCAAATACCAAAACTGTTGTTTTCTTGATGATGTCGACTTCATCTTTGCCTATAAAAATATTTTGTTTTTTTACGAATAAATAATATTTTGTAACTTTCTTAATAGACAAAGTAGTAGTTACCAATTTCAACACCGTTGAAGTTAAATTTGGCGGAAATAATTTGTTCATCGGACCATTGTGGATCGTGATTAGCATCATCCTTGAAAAATGTTTCTTGTTTGGGTGGTGAGAAGCTGTTAATAGATTTTATGTGTTAGAAAAAAATTTTGTATAATAACAACTACTTCTTATTCTAAAACTAAGACTTATTAATGGACAATCACTGTATATATCAACCCAAAATTATGCAATTGTACACCATATAAATCTGTCTACATTAAATAATATGTATTAGTGTTAATTTAGTATCTCTCTTTTTGCAATTTGAATACTTTTTAAACTAAAAATTACATTACTATGTAGTTTTTGTTAATAATATTTACTTGTTGTCATGTTATTACTACTGTAAATGCAACATATTCCATTACCTCTGATTCGGTGAATTTATTGCTTGATACGAATTTGTGATGTTTATAGATTTCATCATTAAAAAATTTACTGGGGGGTAATCATAAGGTCACTGACGTAGCTGATAACATTTCGCCTAGTTCATTATCAAAATTGCATTTTAAGACAATTTTACAATTACTGTTTAATGCGAGAATATTCACATTGCATTTATATATTTATTTGAAAAGTGTGTTACGCAAGTTCTGTAACCAAACAATAAATGAGTAATAACAAACGGTTAAGGTTATATTTGACACATCTTAATTATATATCCGAACAAAGACTTCTATGAGTAGATTAATCAGGTCCCTGGAAATGCCCAATGCTATTTTAAATGTTATTCTATGGAAAAGACAAAAAATCTTATACAATCGCTCACCTACAATGCTGCCCAGACCGGCACTAGCAATACTCATTGATTTAGAAGCCACATACATTTTTGAAATGTATCTTTTAAATACAATCAAGTTAAGTTCGATGGTGGATATATCTCCCAATATAAAATAATATAAAAATCAAACTTTTTATTTATATTGTTATAATTAGCGAACTTGGTACAATTTAGCTTCCTTAGTTTTTAAAGGACAACAAATCCACGTTATTGTGGTTGAATGTTCAATCGTTATAATTGAACAATAGCATATATGTAAAAATTATCTCTACATGTTCTTTATTCTGGTAGTTCCTAGTTGGGTTAAATCGTCTTCTTTTAATGCTCTGGTTAAAGATTTTTCTTTAAATATCCTACAACTTATTTGTAAAAACGATTGAAAATACTTTTATATTGATGAAGAGTTCATCCAAAATATTTACTAGAAAAATTCAAAAAGTAAACGTACTGTAATAAAAATTCATCACGAGCCAATCTGAATCTGAAGTATTCCTATCTAGTAGAAAATTGAAGAGTAAAATAATATTGTGTCACCTATCTAAAATTTCGTTAAATTGTTTGCTATTTTTAAGAATAAGGAAACGAAGGAGGCTGTGGAAAAATATTATTTTTACGCCTTAGTACATATTATGAATTTCTACACCTTTATGACAACCGGTAAAAAATTCACAAAGTTTGATTGTATTTTAGTAATAAGTATTAGATTGCAATAGTCTGTATTTATTTCGGTAACATCAAAAACTATCAATTATTATAAATATTAGTAATTTGATGCTAACTTAAAAATAAATCAATGTTTCTTAAACACGATCGACTTATCATTTGTTATTATGTACCTATAGTACAAGTGACCTTGAAAATAACATGCAATAATCATTAACTTACCGATAACCCTCTGGAACTCCAGGATTACGTTTCAAAAATGAACCAGTTGCCAAACGTCTGGTTACCCATTCAATGGGTATCATTGCACATTTCTTGGCAATGAATGCCTTTGGACCAGCCTGTTTTACGTAGGCAGTATGAATGCCTACACATTAAAGTATATAAATGCAAATAAATAATATAAAATATAACCAGATACTAAATTATAGTACACACCTGCAGCATTGAGTATTTGAAAGACTTGACCATTTGTGGAATTAGATATTTCAGCTTTTCCTGCCAAGTCATGGGCACGAGCACCGTCTCCAGCAGTAATGCGATCCTTGCTCAATATCAAACAATTGCCAGGATGTTCGGGTAAATCAAAGACTTGTTTGGTCTTGCCCTCAATAATTAAGGCACCAAGTGTATATCCTTCAACTGAAGATAAGTTGGAATTAATTATTATGAAAGTCACACCTAAAAAGATCTATATTTTCCCGAACCAACCTTTACTCATTATGATATTTTAAATTGTTTTTTTATAATACTCCAACACGTGTTTGTGTCTAAAGAAATACCCGGCTAGACTGTTTACGAATTGAAAACTCGAAACGCTGAAAACAGACTGATCCAGATGTCTTGTGAATGGCTGGCTTGTTATTTACCCCCACAATCATTTCCAACATAATGTTAACACAACAACAACGTCCTTTAGGAATAGGGATGCCAACGTTGTCATGCTATTTAACATGTGGTCTCATTGGAATAACACATAGTAATATATTAATTTTACAATTTTAGTTTAAAATTGTAAATCTTAAAATTAGTTTTGTTATCTATCAATAAAAAATCGACATTATTTGTTTCTAGAATTAAAATTTATTTAAATAAATATAACAAAAATAATTTTATTTTTAATTTTCAGTCCGATGGCAAAACAATAATGTTGGCATCTCTACTGGAGAACTATTCTCTTGCTTTCCACTGAGTCTCCTCGCCAATTAATGGGGAGAGTTTAATATAATTTACTATACGCTCTCTTCTCCATGCCGGTTTTTTGCTAATGGTTTGGTTTGGCTGGTGATTGGCTTGCGGTCTATGGCCGTTGCTTGTTTTTATTATTGATCTTCTTTAAATTTTAACAAATATTTTTGTTTATTATGTTTCTTATCATGCGGTGTGTGTCTGCTTCGGTTCATTTGTTTTTATATTATTGTTGTTGTGTTAGCAACCCTACTGTTGCCGTCAGCCCATCGTAGGTTGTTGTTGTCCCCGATTTTATTACAGACGCAAGTTTATTTAACATAACATCATATTACTAAGCGATTTTGTTAGCTTGTTTACATCTTATACCACTTATCTCACTGTGCACAGTGTTGAACCAGATCTATTGATAAAAAAAAACTAGTTAACAATACTAAAAAGACAAAAACAATAAAATATCATATTTAAGCATTATATTTCTCTTGTCTGGTGCAGACAGATATGCTTCAAACTACATCAACATCGTGATACTTCTTTCATTTCGTCATTTTATTGTTATATTCATTTCGTTGCGATTTTTCGAAACTGTTTATATCGAGGTATAATTATCATATAATTCAGGTTTTATTGGAATATACTGAAGCCTATTTTTGTTTATCAATCAAAATATTTCCTAAATTGGAGGAAAATTCATATAGAAAACCATAAATTAAAAATCTGAATTCATATGTAATATGTGTATTGTTTATTGGGTTGATATTTCGTACAAAATTCAGTTTTACACAGTAAAGTGTGTAATTAAAATCAGTATGTTAAGGAACAATCTTTTTTTTTTTTTTTTTTTTTTGAATACCAACAGATTGCTGTTCGATTAACAAAATGGAATTAAAAATTTCATAATACAACTTACATTGCAAACATACTATATATATTTAAATGCATTTTATTATTGTTTGTATATAAAAGAGTCATTTAACAAAACATAAATATTATCGATACGAAAATAATACAAAATCAAAAACACTATATAATTTGTATAAATACGATAAATTGTATATTGAAGAAAAATTTCTGCGTGTGTGCAATATTGTATATTTATTATATTTCACTAAACTATTTTAATATTAAATCTATAGAAAATTCTGCGTTCAAACGTTTGATCAAAGGATCAATTTATAAAATGTTAACAGTGCATATGTAGTACTTTTATAGACTATTCTATTTATAATTAGCTATTGCAATTAATTAATCTACGGAAGAAGATTTAATGTCAACGTTAATGGAATTGATTTGCCTATATTCGAAGTGAAAATTGGTCCATTTGTCAAAATAAGCTTAAATGCTTCGTATGGACTTCCAACGTCTCAATAATACACAGGCCGATGTTAGGCCAGTTGAAAACTGGCTAAATTCACTAATATTTATATTGCGTGAAGGGATATCAATTTTGTCCTTTATTATCTAGAAAAAAAAATCATTAATTTTGATTTCAATAACTGTTTTAAACAATGTGCAATTGTACCTTATACGATTCTAATATTTCTTCAGGTGAACGGTGTACCAGTGTACCGTTTATATATAACATATTGCTGGCATGTTCCTCTGGTAAGGTGATTTTTAAATACTTAAAGCTGGCCTCACGTTCCATGCGTTTAACAATTTCCTGACAAATATTGCTATTGCTCACACTTAATACATCAGGTCCCGCCATTGAGACATAATACTTTAAAGGTTTTGGGCCGCCCACCTGTAAATAAATGCATTTTTAATTTTAATATCTTCGTAATGCAGAGAGCCTTATATATTTAAACTTGCCTTAATTGGTGTTACTGGATACTCGGGAAATGTGGTTGCAACAGCTCTGGCCCCATCTTCATTTGTAAAATTTGAAATTCCAACAAAAAATTCTCTACCTTTAAATATAAATTAAATTAATATGTTTTTCTACGGCAAATAAAATTGAAAATTACCTGTAAATAATACATCACCACCATGTAGTTGTGCATTTGGATTATCGATCACCTCAACTGGTATATCTAATTCCTTTTTCAAAGTTATTGCCATACTATTAGCCTATATTATTGGAAGAAAACAAAATGCACAGTCTCTTATGTATTTTGATATAATTTTTGTGGTTTCCAATATTTACCTCTTTCTGTCTCATTGGATCTTCAGATTTGGCAATTAATGCAACACCATTGCATATAACAACAGATGTCTCCACAAAAACGCTATACGGCAGTTCATCGTCGGGTGGTAATTCTATAACATCTAAACCTAATTCTCTTAATAGACTACAGAATTGTTTGTGCTGTTCTTTTGCTGCCTCAAGATCAAAATCTTCTTTAGTTCTAAGGGCATCTGAAAGTCTTTGAAGAGATCAATTATTAAGTACAATACATTCAAAATATTAAAATAATGGAATGAAGTTAGAACATTACAAAATTTAAAATATAATCCGCAATTGTATTACGGAGAATAGTAAAAAACCTACACAAATCTATGTTCAAATAAATTTTACTATTATTCTCAGAATTGTGAACACTTGCCTCCCTCCCAATAATTGAACAATATTTAACTCATGTTTGTGGCTGTTATTGTGCGAGCGTCCACCCCCTCAAACCTAGCCTAGGTACTACTCTACACAGCGTTATTCTTTTGCAAAACACTTGATTGTCATTAATTGAATAGACGAATGAATTGAATGAATGGTGAATTATTGTGTGGATTATTTAAGTAAATTATGCTGACAATTGCTCTTCTAAGGACCACCACACCCAAGATATTAACGAAAATCGTAATTGAATTTGAAAATGAAAATGACATAAGCCACAACTATATTTTGTAATAAAATCTAGTTTACTCACAATTTTCATTCACATTCACTTGTTAGTAGCAATGTGTACAACGCCCAATTGGCCTACTTTTTACTATTAAGGATATGTGCAAAAATAGTATTGTATTAGGCAAGTAGTGAGATATTTTAATAAATTTTCAAATAAACACGAGTTCAGGTGTGAAAGCAAAACGAAATCTATTTTCTGATGTGATTTCTTATAGAAATATCTCGACTTAATTTGCACATTTTTAATCGCAACCGTAGCTTTATTACCTGTGAATTAAGCTCAAGTATTTGTTAGTGCATAACACAGGTCGACTTACCTGGCTACTATGGCATGACTGTATTTTAAAGACATCTTCAAATTAGTTCTCCTTTTAAGTGTAGACCACAAAGAGTCTGGTAAATATCCAATAAATTTTTAAATTAATTTATTTAAAAAAATATTTGTATCCAACTAACAAATACACGACCGTCTGTTTACTGTTGTAGCTGTTTACTAAAGTTGTTTCGTTCCGGAACGAGCTGGTTCACTAGGAACGATTCCGCAATGTGAACGATCGGAACAATTGACATTCGTGTATCTAGTTCTTTTAGTTCGCTTCGGTCAGACGAGCTTTTTTTGTGTGTTTGTTTGGTTTGTTTTGAATGATTGGGTGTTTGTGATTGCAAAATCTGAGTTCTGATTTTTAATTTTCAGCTAGGATTTCTGTGATTTTTAATAATTTTTGTTTCTCTCTTTAGTATAAACATAAGATTTATTCTCTTCAAATAAATAATTTCGCCACGCTGTGGTATAGGGTGTTAGACCCATAGTTATTTTTGGCACATCTCAAATTTCAAATTTTGTGAAAAAATTCAGAATTGTTTATAATATAAACTTTATTTAAATGAATGTCCAAGACATAAAAGTATAAAGATAGGACAATTGATAAGTAAACAATTTCCAACAGATGGCTTTTCCAATATTAAACGTTTTTAATGCTATATCTTAAGCTTATTAAATAAAAAAATATATTTTGAGTGCAGATCTCTGATTTTATTTAGATTTTATAAACACATTATCGCGTATTGGCGTTTTTATTGTTAACATGCCTCTGTTATACCTGATTCCCCCTTGATATTTTTTTATAAACTATTTTGTCAAAATGCATTTTGTCGAGTCTTTGCGGTTTCTATGGCTTTGTGAAGGTCATATGTGCATTGATTTGCTTTTATTTTATTATTTGGTGACACAATAAGAAACAAACACTGCAAAATATTATAGAAAAAAAAAACTAAATTCTATAAAAAAAAAAATATTTAAATGCATAGGTAAAATTTACGCCACATCCAAAAGTATGTTCAAGAAATTACCTCTAGGATTTTTATAATTAGCAAAACAATTTGAAGATAACTTTGCTTATTTCCCATGGCATACATATATGTTTACAATTATTTCATAAATTGATATTTGTCTTTCAAAAATTTTTTTCAGTGGCAAAAATAGCTAATTTATTTATTTTTATTAATTTTTTAAGTCCCTACATCTAAAACCAATATTTACATCTTGATAACAATTTGCAGCCTTAAATAATATACATTTTTAATTTGTTGAAAATATTAGGTTGGGGAAAAAAAAAATCTATTATTTTTATATGAACTATAGGACTTTATTTAACATGCTTTGGAATATCCGATGCGCCGTTTTGTTGTATGAT